ATCCCTGGAGGTGTTCAAGGCCAGGCTGGACGTGGCCTTGGGCAACCTGGGCTGGTGGGAGGTGTCCCTGCCCATGGCAGGGAGGCTGGAACTCGGTGATCTTTAAGGTCCTTTCCAACCTAAACCATTCTATGATTCTGTGATTCTATGAAAGAGGAAGGCTGGGATAGCAATTTTTTGAGAAAGAGACTGAAAGTTTTAGAATTGTGTAGGGTTTACTCAGTTGCGCAATGTGAGGCTTAAAATGGGGGCACATGGGAACCATCGATGACCAGTTTTAAGTGAGAGTATTGATGAAGGTGATGCCAATAGAAAGAAAATTAAAGGGTGATCACAATGGAACTCTTACTAACAGTGAAAGGTGACAGCGAACAGATGCACCACGAAGGCTTGGAGAAGACTTGCTTACTGAAATGAAAACCAGCCAGGATAACACATTACTGGAAATCTGCAAGGTTTTCCTTCCTCTGATTTCTAGTGATAAAACCAGATTCTCCTTCTGCCTGATGCAGACAGCTGGAGTCAGTGGTAAGGAAGTGCTGCTGAAATCGCAGGAAGATGGCAAGGGCGTTATTTGATGCATCAGCCTCTTACCTGGCACTGAACAGTCATGATTGCTCCCACCAGCAGGAGGAGACATGGGAGTTTGCCTTCCATACTGAGCGTGTTCCACATCGCCTCCAAATCTCAAGTTACCTATAGAGACAAAAGAAAAAAATAAGGTGTTGAACAAAGGCATTTTTGCAGGGTGAATGGAGTTCAAGGTCGTAAGTTTAAATAAAGGTTTTAAATTATGAAAATTCTTTTTACATTAAAACACACTTTCTACTCTGCAGTTCTCGGCCGTCTGGTCTAGCTGTCCTGGTGTCCCTGGACAGGGGAAACGGCCAGGCTGGGCCCAGATGTGCTTTTACTTGATAAACTTAAAAACCCAACAAGCTAAAGCACACCCTTTTAGGTCTGGAGGAAACTCAGAGAGTGTTTCCTGGGGAGTAACACTGGTAGAAGTAAACCCCAAGTCCTTTTTCCCAAGGTTGCTGGAAGCCAACAGTATCATGTGCATTATTAGACAGACAGACTTGTCTAATGAAGGAGCATAATGCTGATTCACAGAATCACAGAATCACAGAATGGCTAGGGTTGGAAGGGACCTCTGGACATCATCTAGTCCAACCGCCCCGTCAGAGCAGGGTCACCTACAACAGATTGCACAGGACAGCGTCCAGGCAGGTTTTGAATGTCTCCAGAGTGGGAGACTCCCCCACCTCTCTGGGCAGCCTGTGCCAGTGCTCCACTACCCTCAAGGTAAAGAAGTTCCTCCTCATGTTAAGATGGAACTTCCTATGTTCAAGTTTATGCCCATTACCCCTCGTCCTATCACTGGGCGCCACTGAAAAGACTGCTCCCATCCCCCTGGCATCCTCCCATTAAGTATTTGTATGTATTAATAAGATCCCCCCTCAATCTTCTTTTCTCTAGACTAAAGAGACCCAAGTCCCTCAGCCTTTCCTCATATGAGAGATGTTCCAATCCCCTAATCATCTTTGTAGCCCGTTGCTGGACCCTCTCCAGCAGATCCCTGTCCTTCTTGAACTGGGGAGCCCAGAACTGGACGCAGTATTCCAGATGCGGCCTCACCAGGGCAGAGTAGAGGGGGAGGATGACCTCCCTCGACCTGCTATTGGAAAGTGTTAATTGAGATTTAGGTCACGGAGGCCTGCCTAAGAGATCTCTTGCAGGGGCACAAAAATATGCTGAAGGGTCAGTCTGTAACAATAGTGGTTTAAGAAGATTTGCGTTTTCTGCACAGACTGCTGCTTTGGGTGAGAGTGAGGGCTCCTCTCTCGTGTAGAGGATGCAGAGGCAGGAAGATTTGGTTGATGATAGGAGGGGACAGCACTGCTGTGTCTTTGATTTCCAGTACTTCTACACTTTATCCTCAGCTGAGCTTTTAGTTTCTACCATTGTCATATGCTTTTACTAAAAAGGGAGAGTATGGCAGTTGGATGGCGGGCTGGCTTTTGGTCTGGTGTTCTCATTTATTCAATGCAGCGTTTCTTTCTCTGTGTCACTTCTATGCAGTCACAACTATGTCTTATTCTCTCTAATCCCTTCAGCAGCTTTACACTCCAGACAAAGCCGTCTTCCATACCACACGAGGAGCTTCTGCTTCCTACAGACTGATTTACACAGTCTGTCTCCTACAGCAGCAGTCCTGGGAGAGAACCTCCAATGGTCTCTTGTGGGAGATCGCCGGCTGGTGCGGTGTGGCTGGGGTTAGGGGTGAATCTGGATTCCTGCCTCCATTCACCTCGCTTGCTTTGGAAAATCTACTTGTCTCTCCACTCACCAGAGGTTAATTTTCTAATTGATGAAATTGCTGCTCTGATCTGGGCACAGATAGCTATAGGAAGGACATACTGTGATCCATTTGTATTTCTTCCTACTGTAGCAAAATTTTTTTTTGTCTGGCCTTGAGCAGGCAAGTTTGTTGGCAGAAGCATGAATTTATGTTTCTGTAGCCACAGACTGCAGCAAGATAGGCTATCATCGTGTGCCCTGGTTCCGCTCCTCCAGTTTGTTTCCTGACAAAGGAGGAAAAATGATTTCTTCCACCAAAGCCAAGTGCCTTGTGTAAGCGCTGACTGGTTTAGGGCGTCCACTGGGCAGAGAGAAAATTCTGAGCAGTGCAGAGCATACTCATAACACAGCGTAGTCTTGAGCGTATATAAAATTTTACCGCTGAAATTAAGCAACACAGTTTTTTTCCCTTGCTGTACTAAATGCCATTTCTAATCTCATCCTCATAGCAGGAAAAATACATGGGATGTGGCAGACAAAGGCAGAGAAGGGCTTTCTGAGGTGGTCTGTTGCCTGTGAAGGCAATGCGCTTTGCTGTGGGCTTCTGGCTGCTCTGTTAATCCCTGTAGGAAAAATCCCCAATTTTTTCCATTCTTTTATCTTGGTGACTTTGTAATAACTGGAAAAGATCAGGCAAATGTATGTATGTCAAAGAACTCCATTAGAGCCTGACTTCAGCAGCAGGAGTTTGGTAGCAAGCGAAGTTCTATTTTATATTTAGAAACACTGAACTTGAGGCCTTTAAATGAGGGTTTATTGGAACACCAACAGGGCTCTCCGTTGGCAGCGGGGGGGGGGGGCAGCTGCTGTTCATGGCAAAACTTAAATTAGTAAGGTGGATACAAATGACTGTACAGTGTCAGAGTTTAGAAACTTAGTGCCTATGGGACTTCTTGGAAACATTGTGTTAAATATCAAGGTCCAATATATCTATTAAAAACTGGGAAGGTATTATTGATTTTCACAGTGAGTAATGGCTTTTAAGGACTGGAGTTGTCATTATTATGTAATCTGAATTCTTACAATGAGACAAATAACTTTATCACAGGTTTCCTGACTTTAACCCATAATTTTCCTCCTAAAAGTAATAGTTACTCCTGCATGCAGTAATAGCAGCTCTCTTTTACAATTGAACGAGACATAAGTAATCACCAGCGGGAACAGATTTAGCTTGGTCCTCTGTACGAACCGTGACTGCTACAGCAGTCAGCACAGATGTCGCAGATGAAGAATCACGAGTGTGATGTAGATGGGAACCCCCCCTGCTTTGAACAAGTCCAGCACCAGAGGTCCATTTTCTATCTTCCTTTAAAAATATAATGCCTCCTATACAAACCAAGAGATGGGAGTGAGGTAGAGTAGCAGGCAAGAAGATATAATTTCATTCCAAATCTCTAGGATTGCTCTGCAGTTCCAAATCTTTGAAATAATATTCAGGTGCTGTCTCCCACACTATAAGCATTTTATCATCTACATGGAGAAAACTACTGCTTCCAGAAATTAGGAGCTCAGACTCTGTTTATATAAAGCCAGAGGAAACAGCTGGATAGTATCTGATGAACATTAGACTATGACAGATGAATGAGTCACAAATTGGGATTGAAGGCTAAAAAAGGGAGAGCGTTTGTGGTGGTTGCTTTTTTTTTTTTTTAGAAGATCTGTTCAAAGAAGCAAAAGGCACAGATATTCCAGTCTCTGAAGCAGAACTGGGAGTACAGCACAATAGTTTAGGCTGTGGTTTCTCATCATTAGACCGCACAAAGAGGAGACTTAAGTTGCAAGTCAGACTGAAAAGATTCACTGGAACAGCTTCCAAGAACCTTTGTTACTCCAAGTCTTGTCTTGAGGTGACATCTTGATTATGAGATCCTTCTAATTCTGAGAATTTCTCAGGTATTTGTATTAGTATGCAGATTTTGTAGTATACTTTCCAGCCCTTTCTCACTTCTTAGGAAGCATTTCGCATGGTATAGCAGGCCTTTTTAAAAACTTAAGAGTGATTTCCAAATAGGCATTGACTTCAATTGAATCTGAATTAAATCAGCAGCGTTGCCAAAGCCGAAATGGATGACCTGAACTGCCACCCAGAGCTGTTTGGTTGCTGCTGTCACCCCGTGTTACGTGCTGCATAACATGGTGTCATAATGGGGGGATGCCTGTGCACCCACTGGTGGCTGCAGTCCTGTTATGCATGGAACCTGCTAACAGATGTTGCCAGATGTTTATTTTCAGTTTCAGGAAAGGTACAGCTTAGGCCAGTCAATTGGAATGTTCCGAATGATAAGCCCTATCAAACTGAAACCACATGGCTGTTTGAAGAATACAGTGTTTACAAGACTCCAAGCAGAAACCTGCAAACAATGTGCATTTTGGTAGGACTGCTAAACAGTTTGTGCCTTCTGCTGTCACCCTTTGCTTCCTCTCTCATCAAAAATACTCTAGCAATAAGCCACAGGACTAGATGTGGTGTGCTGACATTTTGATTCTACGCTTTCAGATACATTAGGACATAAAGATATACAATACCCTTAATTTATCTCTCTCTGCTGAAGCATCAGCAGCAGGAAGCAGGAATAACTTAAATCCCACATATTCATTTATTATTAATAACAGCCCTTCTAAGCAGTAAGAGTATTATCGATATGGAATAAGAGCTAAAAAAGGTATGTATCTTATCAAGGTCAAACAAAACAGTCATTAACAGAAATTAAAAGTAGCTCCCCCACCCCCGATATGCCTCCCAATAACCTAGAATGTATTCCAGAATACTTTGATTCTGAATCTATAGCACTAACAGCTTTCTTGTTTACCTATCTTGATCTGGTTCAAGCAAAAGACTGCAGATCCTTGCTGCCTTTTCCTGCCTCCTGGAGAAAGTGCTTCTGTATCCCTTTTCTAAACTGAGCAGATGAATATTAGACTTGCACTATTTCTCTTCAAAATGTAACAGTGGACAGACCTCTGCTCTTGGGGAAAAGAATTAAAAACAAAACAAAGAAAGATTCTGTAGTCTTTGAAGGCATCGGAGGAAATAGATATTTCAAACTCTGGCTTTGTTTTGGGAATCATTCTCAGTATTTCCTGCAGTTTTGGCTGCATTTGAAAAGAAGCGTGTTTAGGGAGAACTGAAGCAGACCCGCCCTCCCCCTCTTTGTCCCTCCATGATCCTGGTTGGGAGCTGGGCTGAAAGGCACAGTCTGATCTCCTCCTGGGAAGAAGATAAATCATCCTTTCACAGCTAGCGCTCTGGCGCTCTCCTTGCCATCAGATATTTGTCCGTAACTCCTCCTTTGTTTTAAGTTCCTTTCCTAATGTTGCTTCTGCAGGAGACTCCTCCCGCAGAGCCTGAGCTCTCAGCCCTTTCCCGGGAACAGCTAAAGCTTACTTGAAACAACCCTAAGCTTGCAGCTTTTTCCGGCGTTGTGAGTCTCTTCAACAGCTGAAAGGCAATAGCTCAGTCAGTCAACTACCATGGTGCTTCAGTGGGATTTATTAAATAATAACATTTAATAGTATTTAACCACAATGCCATTGATGCTGAAAACACAGAATGCACATTCTGAAACAGGTGCAGAGCAGTACGTACCTTTTTGCTTTTTCTCTTCTGTTTTCTGCTGATGATTTCTCTTCCAGCCCAGCTGGGTTTTGTGTTTTCTGTGTCTGTGCTCCGCTCTCTCCAAACAGCTCCTGTCCTACCGCAACCCCGCTGGAGGGGGTGGAGACTGCGGGGCAGCGGGGCGTGCTCCCCAGGGGTCTGGGGGCACACCAGCCGGCCAGGCAGAGGAGACCCTGCTGCCGGACACGGGGCTTTACTGACGCGTTGGTTCGGTTGGTCTCTCTCCCAGTCAGAGAGCAGATTCAGTCTTCGCAACAATTTTTTCCCATGGAACACTGTAAGCCTCAGCGACAGTAGTGCATATCCCTCATGACGAAGTCCCCATCACACTTATAGGAACGGAGGGGGGCCCTGCCTGGGCAGTCCCCCAAGGGAATGCACAGGGGTGTTACCCAATGTGCCCAGAGGTCTGCAATCTGTAGACTTAGTCCTAGTATAGAGAAATGCCTGTTTCAAGCAAGAGCGTAGTGTGCTGTGCTCGGAGTGGTATCCGCTGAGAATCCTTGGCAGAGAGACACTGACCTGTGTGTGGAGCAAAGCGTGTCAGGAGCAGTGCCACTGGGAGAAGAATGGTCAGAGCTCTCCAGCTAGGTGGGGACAATGAGCAAACCTTCCACAGATTCTTGGGTAGAGATAAGGAATAGTATGTTGAGGACCAAAGAGTTAAATGTTCGCTGATACTGTCCATCCCAGAAAACACAGTGCTACCCAGCAGGGTGCAGTCGTGAGGTACGGACTGACCACAGTGCAGCAGACAAATCGGAGCGATCGAGTTTAGAGCTGAACTCAGGGCTGGGTTATGAAAACTGCCAGTGATGCAATCGTTACAGTAATGGATGTGTCCTAACTTTTAGGAACTGATTCACTAGAAATCAGGTTCCTGATACAATTTAGTGTAAGCACAGGCACGAGAAACGGTTTGTGAGGAACCACTGTCTTCAGAAAGTAGCTGCATAGAGTCCTTAGTTGGGAATCATGGCAACAGTCATTTTGCATATTGGCAAAGACGAAACACTGTTTACTCTGAATGTTTAGCTGTTCTCTGTATGGAAATCTATCTCAAGTTCATCACATGTATTTCTTGGAGAGTCACAGTGCTAGTGGTAACATTACCGCTATAAATCTGATTTAAGGGCAGCTGCGTTTGACTGTTTCCAGAAGGGACTCACGGTTGTTAAGAAAAAGATGATTGGACACTGGTGACTGAGCAGGGGTGAATTTATATTATTTATGGCTGGGGGAGAAGATTTCAGAACTTACAATTTCCTGGCTTTTCACAGCTTAGGAACAACTATAGCTGTCCAGAGAGTGTGGTGTGGGTGCCATCTGCAGCACTTAACGCATTTTAGGAAAGCCAGCAATAACAGTGTCTCCCCTCTCAAGGACCACCTACTACAGGCTTACCACTAAGCTGATCCTGTCTCAGGATAGAGTTTCAGCAAACTGTTTAATGTTAGTGATGAACATCAAAAATGTGGCCCGCAGGGCAAGGGAGGGGATTGTGCCCCTCTGCTGTGCTCTGGGGAGACCCCCCTGCAGTCCTGCCTCCAGCTCGGGGGGTCCCAACAGCAGGACATGGAGCTGGTGGAGCAGGTCCAGAGGAGGCCCTCAAGATGTTGCGAGGGCTGGAGCCCCTCTTCTGGGAGGACAGGCTGGGACAGTTGGGGGTGTTCAGCCTGGAGAAGAGAAGGTTCCAGGGACACCTCAGAGCCCCTTCCAGTGCCTAAAGGGGCTCCAGGAGGGATGGGGAGGGACTCTTGATCAAGGAGGGGAGTGATGGGACGAGGGGGAACGGTTTTACACTGAAAGAGGGGAGACTTAGATGAGATATTGAGATGAAATTTTTCCCTGTGAAGGTGGTGAGCCCCTGGTGCAGGTTGCCCCGAGAAGCTGTGGCTGCCCCATCCCTGGAGGTGTTCAAGGCCAGGTTGGACGGGGCTTGGAGCAACTTGGGCTGGTGGGAGGTGTCCCTGCCCAGGGCAGCGGGTGGACTGGATGATCTTTAAGGTGCCTTCCAACCCAAACCACTCCATGGAGTTTGTCACCCTACAGCAGCCCCACACCGCCTGACGGGACACCTCTGTGCTTCGTAGCCTTTGCAGGTCAGGCACATGCCACTGCTCGTTCTGCAGGCTGGACGTGTGCCTCCTGCCCGCGCCGAGAGCGCCTTCGCCGTGGCATTACAGCACGTACCGCCGGCCAGGGAGGAGGCCGAACCCAAACCCGATGTAAGGCGCAGAACAGCGTTCTGGCCGCGTCGGAGCGCTGACAGGAACCGCGCATTTCAGCACCTTCGGCAGATTTTAGAGCAGCTGTGGGAAGGCGACCGCAGCTCCGCCATTTTACTCCAGTAGCCCACGAGCTCCAGTCTCCCGCT